TGGATAGCGGTTAGACTAAAAGCAGTTACCATGAGGTACATGAGCTCTAGTATCCGATCGGATCAAATGGCGTATGAACCCATATGGGTCACCATCAACCATGGGAATGCAGCTCCTGACGCTGCTCCGCTGCCTTGTGGATTAGACTCCAAGTCAAAGGCTCGGGGGTTGGTCCCTTAAGAAAACCACCTGCTTCAGTCTGGGCACCCGGGCAGTATCTCAGCCCTCACACAATGAATGAAATGAAGTAAAAAACTATCAGTCCTCAATGTGACATCTAACACAGATATCATGAAACCGCGTGCCGCGTTCAAGCTGGCCACCTAAAATGTTCGGACGGTGATGCAAATCGGACAACAGGCAGGGTTGGTAAGAACTTTGGAAAGCCTAACTATCCTTGTCTGCTGCATTTCGGAGACCTGTGTTCAAGATCCCAATGAAGTGCTTCGACTATCCTCTCCATCTGGAGGTTCTAGTAGTATGTACCACCTGTGCTTATCCGGGGACCCTGTGGCGTCGGGATCCGGCGTAGCTGGTATCGGTGTCACACTGAGCACTAGAGCCAAAGCTGCACTGCTCGACTGGATTCCCATTAACAGTCGTTTATATGCTGTGAGGCTGGAAGGTTATACGAAAGTAAGGAGTGGTAGGTCAGAGAGGTGGTGTATATTTGTTGTCTCTGCCTATGCACCGACGGACTGCAGCCCGGATGCAATGAAGGATGAGTTCTACTACCAACTCAGCGATCTCTTGAAACAGGCGGGTCGGAGGGATATCGTAGTGCTCTCTGGAGACTTGAATGCACAGGTCGGGTGTCTAAGCTCAGAGGAGAATTGTCTAGGTGGTCAATGGGGTCTACATGGTCACAGGTCAGATAATGGGTCTACAGCTTTGCGCGGATCACAACCTATTTCTAGCCAGCACCAACTTCCGGCACAGCCATCGCCGTAGCGCTACCTGGCGTCCTCCCTCTGCGAAGTAAGCTTGAACTCAAATTGATCATGTTGCTGTCAGTTTCTGGTGGCGATGATGCATACAAGACTGTCGCTCCTTCTGGAGCACATGCCTAGTCTCTAATCATGCGTTAGTGTGTGCCAAGTTCGTCATGCGATTTGGTGGGGTTCATAAAAGCCGTCGTCTAAACGTTAATGTGAGCAAACTAGTAGCACCCGCTACTTCTTTGAAATACCAGAATGAGTTACAATCAATGCTTGCCAGCAACCCCCGAAGTAGTAAAGATGAACATTGGCTGCATCTGCAAGGTGCCTTGCAAAGGGCGAGTGCAGCCGCTTGCGGCTTGAAAGAATGCTCCGCTAAAAACCACTGGGTTTCTGTGAGTTCCTTGAAACTCCTGGATGAACGCCGGTCCATTCCGGCTGGCAGCGAATACAACAATAAGCGAAAGGTGCTCACGCGCAAGATAAGACAGTGCTTACGTAAGGACCGCGAGACCTGGTGATCAGAACGTGTGTGTGAGATGGAGTCAGCTGCTGCATCTGGAAACAGTCGGAAGCTGTTCCAACTAATCCAAGCCACCGGCATCAAGAAACAAGGTGTCAGCGAGACGGTCTGTGAGGCAGATGGCACTCAAGTTACCAGCCTGACAAGACGCCTGGAACGCCGGGCAGAACACTTCGGGAAACAGTTTAGCTGGCCACTAGCTTCAGTGTCTACTGTCATTAGCCCCAGCGCTCCTTGGTAAGTTAGTACCGACCCACCCACCGAAGCGGAGGTCCGTAAGGAACTCCAAGTGTTGAAACGCCATAAGGCGCCCGGCCCAGACAATTTACCCCCGGCTCTTTTTAAAGATGGTGGCGAGACTCTCACAATGGCTCTATCTGAGTTGTTCAAGAAGGTATGGGAGACTGAGAGTGTACCGTCAATGTGGAACGAAGCCATTATCGTCCCCATCTTTAAAAAGGGTCGACGTAATTCGTGTGACAATCATGGGGGTATCAGTCTGTTACCAGTCGCGTCTAAAATATTGGCTGCTGTCTTGCTTCGCAGGCTGTGCAAAATACGTGAGGGATTGATTCGCGAAAAGCAGGCTGGGTTTCGTTCAGGTCGTGGATGGATTGATCATGTGTTCACCCTTCGTCAGTTGTTGGAACACCGCCACACGTATTGCAGGCCAACGACCGTTGTGTTTCTTGATATTAGGGCTGCCTTCGATTCGTTGGACAGAACTGTGCTCTGGAACTGTCTGTTAGAAAGAGGTATACCTGAGAAATTTGGTAACATCTTGAAAGCCCTATACAGAAACACCTCGGGTAGAGTGAGGGCATACAACCAACTATCATCAATGTTCCCAACCAACAGTGGGGTCAGACAGGGTTGCCCAATCTCTCCATTTCTCTTTAACTTTGCCATCGATGACATTCTGGAGTCAGCTCTGAAGGATGGGCGTGAAGGTGGTGTAGATCTGCTACCTGGAGATAGATTTTTCCACCTCGAGTATGCGATAGTATGCAGGCTGCCCAAATCGCACTTAATCAGTTGGCAATCAGTGTCTGTAAGTATGGTACGTGCTTTGGGCCGTCTAAGTGCGAAGTACTGTTACAAGATTCGCGGGAGCCTGTACCTGCACTCACTTTTGCGGGTGAACCGCTTGAAGTTGTTGGTAAGTTTGTGTATCTGGGTAGTTGTGTGAGTGCTGGCGGAGGGGTGACGGATGAGATATCCAACCGTATAATGAAGGCTAGGCTGGCATACATCAACTTGAGCCACCTATGGTGCCGTAGCGACGTTAGCCTGGCTGTCAAAGGTCGGGTATACAATGCTTCGGTGTGGGCTTTCTTCCTCTACGCCTATGAAACCTGGCCTCTCCAAGCTGAGGATGTGCGACGACTTTGCGTGTTCGATCATCGCTGTCTCCACAGGATTACTTGCGTTCGATGGCATCATCGCGTGAGTAATTCTGAGGTTCGGCGGAGTGTGTTTGAGTACAGCGGAGATCACCATTCATTGTGTCGTCATCTGGAAACACCGGCTCCAGTGGCTTGGACATGTGCTGCGAATGTCATCCCACAGGCTTCCGTACAGGTTTCTGTTCGCAAGCCAGCCCTGGGACGGGATAGAAAAGGCGGAGGGGTGGTCAGTCCATGACGATGTGGCGTCGTGGGATGAAGGATGTTTGTTCTAGATTAGCATCGGTTGGTGTGTCACGACTCCCTGATTGGGGTCCGCGAGATAGCTCATATCGATGGCTCGAAACGTTATCGGATATGACCAAGAATCGTAATCAATGGCGAACGTGTTGCAATTTCCTTCTTTCTTCCCTTCCTGATGATAGTTAACGAATACTGTTTGAACTTGTTAAGCATGACTGTTTTCCTTCCAGATGAAATTCTTTATCTGTTCCCTACTTATATTTTTTTCTTTTGATCTATGTTGTTTTATTATTATTGTGTGGCGCATCCTTCTTGGTGCCATATTGTACCAAGTATTTTTATGCGTTTAAATAAATAAAATATTTCTTCGCCTGAAAGCGGAATTCGATTCTGTCGACCGAGAGATGGCGATGTTTGGCCGTAGAGGGAATGACGAGAAAATACATTGCACTGATTAAGGCACTCTACTCCAACTCAAACAGCTAGGTGAGGGCTTATGGCGAGTTGTCATCTGAAGTGGTGACGACTAGTGGTGTCCGTCAGGGAAGCCGATTATCCCCATTTCTATTCATTTTCATCATAGATGTACTGATGGACTTAACCCTAACTCACTTCAGAGACTCAGGGATTCACTTTCTACCAAGGAGTAATCTCGTTGACTTAGAATATGCAGACGATATAGTCCTTCCAGGCGACGACGCTGACAAAATGCAGAGTCCTCTGAACACCTTGAGCTGCAATCTACGAATGGTTGGCATGCGATTCGCTCCCATCAAATGCAAGATGATGTTACAGGACTGGACCACACTGACTCCTAGTTTAGAAATCGGGAGTGAAGTGGTAGAGCAAGTTGACCGCTTCACTTATTTGGGAAGTACCATCAGCCAAGGCCAGAGGGTTGATCTCTGACGAAATCTCAGCACGAATACGGAGGGCTAGTTTCGCATTTGCCAGTTTACGCCGACTCTGGCGTAGACGAGATGTTCGACTATCGACCAAAGGGCGGGTGTACTGCTCATCAGTCCGCTCCGTCCTCCTTTATTGCCGGCTGTGAGACCTGGCCACTGAGAGTGGAAGACATGAAAAGACTAGCTGTCTTTGATCATAGGTGCCTCCGCTCTATTTCCCGTGTAAAGTGGCATAATAAGGTGAGCAACATCGAAGTTAGGCGTCGAGTTCTAGGTAAACAGGGGAAATCAATCGACGAAGTCGAGAAGTTACAAAGACTGAGATGTTTAGGACATGTGTTACGTATGCCAAGCCATCGCCTCCCTCGACGAGCAATGTTAGCGGATATATGGTCAGGCTGGAAAAGAGCTACCGGCGGTCAAGCCAAAACATGGTACCAGTCAATGAAATCCACAACAGTTAGTTTAAGTCATGTAGGAAGGTGTAGACTTCTCGGCTGGGGTCCTCCAGACGGTAAAAACCAATGGCTGGAGACAATTGATGATATGGCTCAAAGTCGTTCTCAATCACAGTGCAGATACATCCACTCCTTTTGACTTATAATATCCAGTAAAACTACATGGTTCTTCGATATGACTATTCTTATTGCATTATATCTCTGTTTACTGTCTATGTTTTGCATTTCTTTTTACTTACTTCTCCTGCTTTGTGTGCTACGTGAAGTGTGGCGACCCGAACTGCTGTACATCGGTGCAAAGTTCTACGTTTAAACCAGTCAGTCAACCAGAAGATAGTAGAGCATGGCCGCAAGGAAAGTCAGAATGATCTTTACCTGTCTCTTACACTAGAAACAGGCAGTCTTCAATTGGTGTTACCATATGTGGTTAGTTCTCGATCTTTAAATGCACCACTGTTTTACCAACCAACCAAAAGTAATCAAAAGCGTAGAAATTATTCGAAATTATAATAACACACAAGACAGAACACCAATATATCCGATATATTTGATGGTAAAAGAAAAAAACAGATAGTCATTATCACAGTTTCATACGTATTTGAACAAAAAGATAACAAGGAGCCGATTACACCTGTGTACAACTTCACAATGTAGTAGCATTACTCGCTTTGAAATCTTAGTTATAATTAATTTACTTATGCAACAAACAGATTAGGATTTTGTTTTAAGAGAAAGTGAATTGGTTGCGTTTGAAATTTGTTTGGAATTTCCCATGAGGTTCTGCTGATTTGCATATACTGTTTGAGTTACAGAATGATGTACAGTTGGAGAACCGTGGAAGAAAGAAATCTGAAAAGTAAAAGAAACAGTTTCGTGTGATGAGATGTAGAATAGTGAAGACAATAGTTAAGTGTTATGTGGCAAAATGAATAGTGTTATAAGCATTTTATCAACTTGATATGATACCTTTTAGCCTAACATAGGGTCAGGCTGGAAAAGAGCTACCGGCGGTCAAACCAAAACATGGTACCAGTCAATGAAATCTACAACAGTTAGTTTAAGTCACGTAGGAAGGTGTACACTTCCTGGTTGGGGTCCTCGGGACAGTAAAAAACCAATGGCTGGAAACAATTGATGATATGGCTCAAAATCGTTTTCAATCACAGCGCAGATGCATCCACTCCCTAGTGACTTATGATTTACAATGAAAGTATATTGTTCTTCGTTATTACTATTCCTTTGTCTCACACCTCTGTTTACTGTCTCTATTATGTATTTCTTCTCTTGCTTTGTATGCTAAATGGAGTGTGGCGACTTGAACTAGCGCACATTGATGCAAAGTTCTATGTCGAAAACAGACAGACACACCTTTTAAAGGTTGTAATGCATTCAAATGAATAATACAAACCAATAATGACTAAGCTAACTGAATGTATATTTTGGTAGATATACAAATAAACAAATTGAGAGCCACAGTGCTACGTTTGTACTACTACTATTCAGCCATGTTTAAACAAATTAATTAGTCACTGAATTCCAAGCGTACCGATCCTCTGTATAATTCCTTTGTCAAAAATAATGCGATGAGGCTTTCAGTAAAGGTAAGTAGAAGCTGTTGTTGTTTCACACTCTTTCAATGGACACACGAAATGAATTATTGTTTGAGGAAAACTACTGAATCCGTCAAATGCTACAAAGAAAAAGAGCACATTATCAGGGACAAATTAATACAGAAATGATCCTTTGTCTAAGGTTTATATATCCTGGTGAACTCCAACTGTATATAGTATTGTCCAAGTAATCACATGTCCTGTGATTTGTAGAGAATGTTGTACATAACACTTAAAGACCAATGAAATACTTTGATTACAGTGAACTTTTTATAATGCTTTTCAGCATCAAATATCGATGGTGTATAAGCGTCAGAAACAAACTAAGCGGATCAGTTTCTACAAGCATACACAAACTAGTTCTACTGACTACTTAGAACCAAATTTACACAAACATACATGCATACCCAACACCTTCTAAAAGATAGATAGACACCTTACATCTTTGAAATCCCTATTAAAACTGTAAAGTACGGCACGACGAAAAAGCAACGCTTATAGTTTCTTTCTATACCTCTCTAAGAACAGATAAAAGATCATTTCATACAATTACTAGGGGACATATTGTCATGCATTGTGAATTACAGTGTTCTCAGTAAATAATCAGTCTAACAAAGTAAGTGAACTCTGTCGATTTCGAGTAGAAAGTATACTATTTTGTGATAATGTGATATATATATATACAAGGTCTAAGCTAATAAATTATTGCCCTTGTTAGTCTGACAAAAATATCTGTCAAAAAAGAATATTCACATTTCATTTCATATCAGATAGGTTTATCTGATATAACAACAGTGACAAAGTGTTAATAATAACTGAAGACCCACCCTTAACTGATATAAAAGACTCACTGTTTCTCTAAATATCATAGAGATGCCTTATTTATTATGTCATGACAGAGAGTAATAAGCGTCACGAATTGTTATCCGATTGAATATATAAATAATTAGGAATTTCACTTTTCAGTGAATGACAAAATCGTAGAATAACTAAAAAAGGTATACACACCTCTAAATGGATTACACAAAGTCTTACTGAAGTCGAAAAAGTGCAAATAGCACATTAAGAAAATAAGCTACTTTTTAAATACATTTATTAATAAAACACTTACAATTGGGATACAACAGAAATGACTTGACAAATACATTTTGTCGATTTAGAAAGTATTAGTATCTAAAGATATTATTATTTCTGAAAAAGGACAGCAGTATTGCTGATGATTTCTTGTCATTAAAACACAAACTTAGTGCAATATTATTTATTACCTGTGACTTACAGAACAACACGACAAAGGCAATAATTGTGATCCAGATCGCTAAAAACTACGCTAGTCACGCCTCCGCTAACGTCAACACATGTACTTTGATACACGGGCTTACGACTACTTCTACCAGCCAGGGCACCTACCAATCTTTTAATACGACTTTCATTTGAATGTTTGTAGACGGTAACTGCCAACTAATAAGGTGCGACATAGGTATTCTGTGTGTTATCGCCTGCATAGCCAAAGTCGAAAAGCCTTTCTTCAAGCAGAAAATCCACGCTGTAACGTTGTATACCCTTCACATGTGTTTTCAGAATCTCATCCATAGAAATGTCACAGCACAACGACCACCTAATTGCGCACTGATAAAACACTCGATCTTCTGTACCTCCTAAAGCAATCTAGTCAGTTCCCCAACCTGACTTACCATCACAGTCTCACAGATTATCTCACTGACACCATGCTTTAAACCTGCCTTTGTTCTATATTTTTTCCGCAGCAATGGGTGTAACTAATTCGCTTCCAGTAAAGAATGACATTTATAATCACCAACGAATCGGATAAGAAACGTGGTGAACACTAAAGCACCATCAGAATCCCAATGCATGCTTGAGAATGGAAGGAAATTCTGTAGCCAACCACGCTACTAAAAGCTGATCGTTTTCTTCAAAATCTTGTAAGAAAACCCTCGCCTTTCACATGTTGAGTGTTGATATGCTTTGTATTTCTGAATTCCAGACCAGTCAACCGTTTCAAGTGAGTTATCATTTGGCAAAGTATTACTCCGTAATATATTTCACATATATTTACTTTAAGGCAAGAAATAACTTCAAGCATTAAACACAGAATTGTGATGTGAACGACCGCCAGAGCAATATAAAATATACAATAATTTCAACAAAGAGATGCCAAAAACTCACCATCAAAGCTAGCGAAAAACCACAATGTACGACAATTAGACCAATGAGTATCGGTGTGGCAAGCTAAAGATAAAATGCAAAATATTTTGAACTATTTCATTGTGAACCTGTAGGAGAAATGCTAAATTTTACTTTAGATTGACAGAATGTAACAAATTTCATATGGTTTTCTTCATTATAATATTACGTAAGCTGTGTACTCTAAGTCTTCTACATACACAATAAGTTAGCACTTTTACTTTCTTTTCTTTTTATTATTCTGAACAGAATGACGAAATGCTTAGTAATCAAGTTTTGATATACACCATAGCTTTGGACCTATGTCAATAATTCTCTCCTTTTCTAAATATCTACAATACCAAACTAGAGAACAAACAGCCTTTCACTTAATTGACTAAAGTGATGCATTCAGATAATTTTATCACCCCAATTACCAGCTAAGCGGTATAGTTATTTTGATGTACTGAGATGTGTCTTACTTTCCCCCATACAGCGAAAAAATCAGTAATACGATTGCAATTATCATAAATATGAAATTTGGGTCCTGTGAAAAACATAATTCTATATTCAAGTGTTGTCGTGAATTGGCAGAAGTTTGAATTCATGGGCCATTGGATCGAGTCCCAGTGGCTTAATGGTCTACGAGCTTGCCTTGTAACCGGAAGGTCCTGGGTTCAGACCCCAGTGGGTGCGTACAACTGAAGAGTCCCAAACTAGGACGAAACAGATGCCCAGTACCCCCAGGTTTCCCAATGGTTCTCTAACCAATGTCAGCTCATGATGAAATCCTACAATTCCATATTAAAACAGTATATTTGATAGAACACACAGTGATACAGTATTAATAACGATGATTTTTAGAACACAATTTGTTTGTGTATCTGTTGACTCGATGAACAAGAATTCAGTAATCACTGTCTTCCTCTCCCTCACTATGTTCCTTTCTAGTACTTCCATTTCTACCCCTCCTTAATGTATGACTACATGCAAGTACGTGCATCATAATGCTCGATTTTTTTTCTAGATTACTTGATCAAGCGGAGTCTATCACTCTAGATCTAGTGGTGATAATCCAACTGATCTCAATCTACTCGTTTGACAAATGTAATGAACTCACTGGCCATCCTATTGTATCTAATTAGTTTCCCTAATTGAGTGAATTGGGTCCTTAAATTGACAAAAGCTTATCTCTGATTGGGTTGAATGTTTTACGTGTCATACTAATTTCGCTCTTATGAAGAATTCTACGCAGGGTTTTCAGTGTCCATTCCCCAGTATTGTAGAACTATGGAGGTTTAAATTCCCTATCATTCATATTATGATTACTATTTGCTTTCAGAGTGGGACACAGTGCTGCGACATTGAGTTTAAAAGCTGCAGTTACTGTGGTATTTTTACGGCATGGAGTTGGCAGCCTCACACCCAACTTTCCCTCTCTATCCGGCTAACTACAGGCTAATAGAGATGTAGGAGTGTGTCGGTCTTTTCTAAACTTTCCAATGAATTCTGTTAGTTAGCTACTCCGTAGTAATGTTTTCCTCATGTTTGATTTTTCCTACTTGTACTTTCTGATTTGGCCACCTTTACTAACTTTCAGTGGGATCCATCAAAATATGATGGTTTCCCATAGATGCTAATATACCTAAACCTTCATAATGCTTTCGTCTTTTTACAATCTAGTGGAGTTAATTCATTTTATGACAAAAGATTGAATGAATTCCGCTGATTAATGAGCATGATTAAATGAAGCATCACTTCTGAAAAGCTAACAGAATATATGCGAATATGAAAAGTTTTGGGGGGACTTTTTATTCTCTAAATTACAAAAGAAATCATTCTGATTGGACACTAGTAACTAGTGTGACGTGTCTAGTCCTTTCTTTGGTGCAGACTAAATTCTATCAGTCAGGTTTGCAATGTGGCCGCTATTCTAAGTAGCTCGCCATTACGGTGCACATTGATTTGATGATATATTAGATAGTTGGAGGCAGTCGGCAGGAAACCTTGGACCTAGGTTTCGTGCTAGTTGGCACTCATTAGTCAGCAAGGCGTAACTGCACCCTTGAAGGAACTCATATCCCTCCTGAGATTCGAACCCGCGTCACCCAGTGCTGCAGTCAGAGACGTTGCCACGGTGCTATTCGGGCTCGTGACTGACCTTCTGCAGAACTGTAGTGGGTATTTTGACTAGACACGTCACACTATTTAGTAGTTTCCAACCGAAATACCCACTACATTCCTACAGGAGGTCAGTCGCGAGCCCGAATAGCTCAGTGGTAACGTCTTTGACTGCAGCACTGGGTGACGCCGGTCCGAATATCAGAAGGGACACGAGTTCCTTCAAGGGTTCAGTTACGCCTTGCTAACACTAGTGAGTGCCAACTAGCACGAAACCTAGATCCAAGGTTTCCTGCCAACTGCCTTCAACCATCTAATATCATCAAAAGAAATCATTATTTACAACAGATACTGATGCAGAACATCTAACCTTCAATTCATGAAAGCGGTATTTCATTATCATTAATTAGACTTGCCAGTTGAAGAACACTCAGTAAAGTTAGTGGAAATCACACAAACAACTAAGGTCTTAGTTCTAAGGCTTAATTAAAACTATAAAACTAACACACTTCCAAGCTAATTCGTCAACATAGATTGAATAGCAGGCGACAACCTAGCCCATACCCATTCCATCGCTCCTGTGAAATGCAGAACAGGAGTTCCTTGAAAAATGACTTCAAAATGTACATTTCAAATAAATAAATAAATCGAGAAAGTTGTAATGTTAAGACATCTACCTTTGGGTATTCTTTGCGTATACTAGGTGTTAGGGTAAACACCAGAAAAGCTCCAGAAACCACTACTGCAATTAAAAACAATATCCATTGCAGTATGTTTATCTGAATCATCCACAAAATCTGTAAAAAATCGACAAAAATTTGTATTACAAATCTGAAATCAATTATAATCAGAATACCTCTTTATTGACATTATAGCCGAATTTAATACATACAACATGCACTCCGAGTAAGACAGACAGATCACCTTCTAACCTGTACTGTGTCAATTCCTGGTTACATTGGATTTCCGAAAGAGTATATGGTGATACAGTATTATTTGTTGAGCACAAACTACTGAACAAACAGGAGCACATCAGAGTCACTCTGTTTCTTCACCCATTGTATTTCAGTTATGCAATCTAAACTTTTATACATATAACTCGTACAAGCATTCAAACACTTAGTGAATGACTGAAACGCTACATCAGGTTGATTTGGATGGGATACTCGGGATGTTAAGAATCAATGGCTGAAGACTACCGCTTGACATGGCTAAAAATCGTTGTCGATGGCGCAGATGCATCACTCTCTGTAATCTCCAATGTTAACTAAACTATTATGTTCTTCCATGTTACCATTCTTTCGCCCTCATTTCTGCCTATTATAGTTCTTTTAAATCTCTTTTTCCCTTTTATTCACCGATTTTGTGTGCTACATGGGATGTCACAACTTGAACCGCTACAGTTTTGTGTGCAACGTTCTGTATTAAAACTCAGTCAGCTAGTCAGATATATCATTCAAAGAATTCATTTTGTTATAACTACATGTGAGTGACAGGAAAAACACTCGATAAGACAAAACTTTTACTGGTAAGATTAATTATCAGTTTCAGCATAAATAGGGTAAAACTATCAATAGAATATTAATATAACTCACAGCAACAGGAACGAAAATTGTCAATGAATAACCATATGTCGACAAAATGTCGAAAAATTTACCAACACGCTTCGAATTACGAAACGATGAATCACTATCGGAACGCTCCAACAGGTCTGTAAGATCACTTTCAGAATTATTTGACTGTGACTTGACACTGTTACGACGAAAGTACATAAGCCCGTGCAGTACCAAGGGAGTTAAACACCAGTACACATAAATGACAGTGGATGTCAGAGTGACTAAAAAGGATACATATACAGTTAGTAATAGAAATATATTCCGACAAAAATCAGTGATAAAGACTACTCGCATTATTTACTAAATCTGTACATATTTCATTTATCGACTGAGTGGCTTAAAACTTTATAGAATCAAAAACCCTATGAAAATAACACCACAGCTGAGAAACTAAATGTAATAACGACAAAGACAACAGCCTATCTCGGAAAAAGTTTAATATCGTCTGACGATGATAAAGTAAAAGATTTTATGAAGGGTTGATTACAAAGAATAAAAGTCATATGAAAACTGTTCTTGTTTCTCCGGGAAAAAAAAAGTGGAATGATTTGCAAACGACATTAATTTGAATTATCTTCGTAATTTCAGTTTCGGAGTATCACAATCTAAGTACTACTAATTCCTGATTATGATGTTTAAAGAAATCTCGAGACACGTTATCAGGTTTTCTTGTTTTTTTTGCTAAATTTGGATGCTTAAGAAGGAACTGGAGCATGGGAGATGAGTGACTCAAGTGTACCTACCTATAAGCCAGTTGAACCACTACTTACAGTATTCAATGTAACGCCCCAACTGTCTATATTGTGATTATCCAACATACCTGTTTTAATGAAAGATTCACTAAGCACTATCTGCTGCATGACTTACATTAATAAGTTTAAAAGACCAAAAACTATTAATTTGTCTGAATGCTTTTTTACATTTGCTGTTATTACTCACAACCAAGATCGGCCATTGCAAATACTTCAAATAGTTTCCACTTAATTCATTCACTGCAGTCAATCGCAGTAAGTATGTGACATTTAGTTCAAGGTTAGTATTGTTTTCACAGAAAACTGAGTAATATAGCAGGCTAGTCGTGTTAAGATTTGTTTGTCTCCTAATAAGTTTAGTTATACTTTATTTGAACACACTGTCTTTTCACCTACAGATGGAATACCAGATCATACTTTATTCCAAGAATAAAAATTGCTATAGACAATTATCATTTTCAATGAACACAATGTTTTTGTTAGCTTGTCTCAAACCGCTGGTGTTGAGAGAGCAATAATTGTATCCAATTTGATCCTCTGGTGAATGTTTCAGCTCAAGCGGTGAACTTCTTGAAAATTTTACTAGAGTGCCATTAAACTGTGTAGCCTAGACGCAAGATATCGATAAAACCACCAAGACTGACGAAATATAGTGAGTTTTGCAGTGGGTGAATAACTTCTTTAGTACTAGCTTGAAATGAGATATCAATAAGACACACACACACACCTTTTTGAAAATCGTAATGCCATGAAGATACTTCACCACGTGATTGCAGATAGTTTGATACGTTTCCGCCTATTGCAGAAGCCATCATTAAAGTTGTTGCAATCCAAAATGGTCCATACAGATCAGCACGAGGCTTCAATGAGTTTTGAATGAAGTTAGTACGTGGATTAGGTACCACTGCAGAAGCGAGGCGAGCCAAAACCTAAAAATGGAGACAAAATATTATGGTAGTGGATACAGCAATAATGTCATCATAAAAGCAAAAGAACAAGAAAAGTCAAACCTACCAATCATAGAAGAAATGTAAATATGAACAATACCAGCCTAGAATAAATGTACGCAAAGCAGACAACTGTTTACAACAGTGCGGTCACATTCATGAGGCATTATCTAGATATTAGCAAACTTATCATAATACACTACTTGTCTTTCACTGGTGAGTATGAAGGCTTTGACAACAGGGTCTGAAAAGCTTCATTCCAAGTTAATGGTGCGTACAGATAACATTATCCGAAAGAAAATATAATGGAGTATAAGTTGGTCTTCTTAACCAACAACAAACTCCTAACGTTGGTTGGCTTATATGCAGATCAAACTTGAAGTAGAATCCTCGAGAATTGAATTACATACAGTTGATGGCTTCATAGATTGCCCATATGCTTCAGTTTGGCTGCCCCAAATTATTTTCTAATCTGACTCTTCCTACTTTACCTAAGATTATCTGTTAAAGAAGACAGGGGATCGGCATGTATGAGACGTGTCTTAACCACCTATATCACTGGGGCTTTGAAAAGTAATCAACTCACATTACCACCAAGGCTAAATCTTCATGATTAACGTCGTTACCACCCATCAGAATTCACCATCTAACGTGAGCAGTTGTGTGGAGAGAACTATGGTCAGATACCAACAATTTTTACTCACTTTGTACCTTCAACAGCAATGTCTCAACGTCATAAAATGGGGTAGACATAACCTTCTCAGATTTACTCATCCTACCTCTGCAGTGATTATGTGCTGGGTCCAACAGACACACGTAATCCTAAGAAAGTGACGGCAGTTAAATGCCTGCAGTGTACACAGATATACCTTTAATGACTATGCTTGACAAACACAGGGTGGGATATAGAGCATTATTATGCAAAATATTTCATAAAAAAACTAGACTCCTCCTCTACATTATAAGTAGCAGAATCTAACAAGTCCTAAAGAGCTTCATGCATCCACTTCATTATATCAACCACCACCTCATCAGGAGTCAAGTGATTTCTTAGATTCGGAAGACGTTAACGCATCTAAAAGCTTATTTTTCAATGCCTACCAGTCCTTAAGTAAGGACCTGCATTTGAGATGTGAAAAAGATAGTCCTAAAACCCTTAAATGTCACTACAGATGCTCAGAAGACTTGTGTCTTGTCAACTGCTATGAATCTAGGCGTGAAATCAGAGACCTTCACAAGCACATCTACGCCAAAGTTGAAAAGTGAATATACTTGACGAACACTACCGGATGAAAACACTACTAACTAGCTCACCTAAGGCGTTAACTTGATGTGTTGGAAATTAGACTTATGCTTAACGGGTATCCTTCCCAGCAGTAGACTTAGTCATATAAACCATTGGTCGATTGAATCAAATACTACCTTCAAGTCAAGAAATACAGCTAATTTCAAGCGTCCATTTCTTAGAATCTGATGAGGTTAACAAATCCGTGACCAGATTTTAAAATAACTTAGCTTGTTCAAGCTTGCTGTCCCCTAACTATGGTTACGTGTCATACCATTCCTGAAGCTACAATTTTGGAAACTACGCTGGCCAAGCGGACTTTTTTGTGGTTATCACTGGATTTTTCTTTGTTTATACCAGGAAGAATCAGTGGTTGAGACTGATGAAAATCATGTCTGATTTTTAAACCGCAGCCGGAATTTTAGTCTAGTAAGTAATGCTGGCCTACCATCCTTAGATACTTCTGGAAATGGATCACTGGGCCCTGAAGTCTTTTCGTCTTCAAGTGCTGTCGCCAAACAATTAACTTCAGATGTTAGAGGTTCTATGTCGATTCACCATTTGGACTACGGTTGAAGCGTAGCTACAAGCTAGTTGAACTGTTCAGTTTTTCTTATCCTTTTAGTAACCATTTTCTTACATGAACTACCGCCCCGATGTTCCCAGTTATAGTCTCGGATTTCTGAACTCTATTTATCTTATGAATAATTGTGTGCAGTTTCATATTTTCAGTATTATCTTTACCTCTACTGTTCGATGCCTAGTAGTGTTCATGTTTGTTACGTAAACTTGAAATTTTAGCTGTCTTTTCACTATATTGGGCTCGCGAACTCTGAGAATTAAATGAGGAAAAAACATCATTTTATCGAGTTTTCGACATTTTCTATTCTGTTGTTACGTTGGGGAAAACATGAAAGATACTTGCTGGGTTACGCACCTAAGTTCATCCGTCCACATCGGCATGTGTGCGCACTCATGATAATATGAAGCAAACATGTAACTCACCTGACTTGTGTCGACATCAAAGTATTGCTGATAGAATTTGATAGTTAAAGGGCTATAGTTAACATCCGTCTGTTTGTCTCCAACGTCCGTCTTGAGTATTGCTTTTAATAAAATTTTATTTTACCTCGTGCTCCAAATTTCCTTGAGGCTCAGAGTCTACTTGATCATCAAAACTCCCAGAGAGTGGGATCCGGACATAATCTCCATTGGACGTCGACATGCTGAAGAGTCAAACTAGTTTGAGTTAAAACAGGAAAAGAAGGAAGTGAGGAATCTACAGACCATCAAGGATTGTTATATTTTAGTACCTAAATAGAAAGGTCAAATATACGATGATTCCATGCTATGTACAAAGAAGCATCAGATCAGGTCATTTTGGTCAACAGTGCAGAGATAAACATTCAAAACCAAGATGAATAATTTGCAGAAGTAACAGATGAGAGACCAGCCTCATTATGACCATAGGGCTCAATTACTTAGTCTAACATGTCAAGCAGCTAGTAAATCTACAGATCTTACCAATTAGAATTCACTAACAGGAATTATGTCAACACTCATTTTTACATTTGCTTTAGCTGTGCAAAGCTCGATGGAGACTCAACAAAAGATAATGGTAGATTATAGCTCTACCTAAAACACATTTGTGAACTCCGAATGTGCATGTTCATGCACGCATTCCGATAAGGTACAAAAAGGGAACTCACGAAGCCCTGTGTGGCGAACTTGCAGATGAAAACTATCATGATGATACTCAGGCAACAGGCATCTAATACCAAAAGCAATTCCGTGTGAAAAGGTAGACGACAGTTTACAGTCCACGTACAAAAGTCAGCAGACAACATTGGATCTCACCAGTCCATTTGAAACGAACGGTAAAAGAAGACTAACAAAAACAATTCAAGACTGATCACAAACTCATTTCTGTTAGACAGCCAATGAAAACCATGAAGAACTAAAGCTGTTTCGCCCTTTCTCGGTAACAGGTAATTTCACCTTTAGGCATAAATCTGACCTAGACAAACTGGTTACCACTCACGAGGTGTGCAACATATATGGTACTGAAATAGAAACCAAGTCGGAAATTAAATATCTAGGCGTCATTCTATCTGCTGATCTTTCCTGGTCGTCTCATATCTTGACGATTTCTAAGAAAATATTCCGTCTTACCTTCTACATCAAGAAGTTAAGACATTCTGGAATAACCCAACCCAACCCTTACTCCTACAATTCGTTAACTCTCGCATTCTGCCTACTATTCTCTATTGCTCCCCCTTAGTTTTTCCTGGGCTACTGAAGAAAGACTATACCTTATTACGCAGGATGTTAAAGGTTGTCTGCAGGGTAAGCAACGTGCCACTTAACCAGCTTGTTAATATTCTGGTCGACAGGCGCATGGACTCATGTGAAAAATGGGCTAAATCCATTTTATCTAACTCACGCCACCCTCTTCATTCACAACTCTCCCCTTGTATCTCATCAAGCACAACCAGAAGCCTATATAGAAAACTATATGCTCGCACTAGCAAGTACGAAAAAAAACTCAACCATACGCCACTTAGCTCGCGTTCCGTGCGATGAAGAAAGAATTAGGCGTGATACCTATAACTTTTTAAATAGTCAGTAGAACAACTGGATCTCATCTTTCCAACTCATGTCATTTATAGATATAACGTTTTCTTTCTTTCTTTTCGACCTTTTGTTACCGCTTACGCCAGTAAATATGCTAGCATCTACTTTTCTAACATCTTCAAACACTCTTCAATTTTGGCTTTGCTACCGATATGCCGACATGTTGTTATAATGAACTGAGATTACCCTTAATTTATGTAGAATTTTATTTATTGTTAATATACTAAGTGGATGCAATACTGTAGCGAAATGCTGAGAATTCCATTATGTATCACAAGTACTGTTTCGGAGTAAAGCAAATTATTATTAATCCACAGAATTACGCACCGGAAGTCATGATCAGCGGGGTCTGAGGACGTATACTCGCCAACGACATTAGCCGGCGGTCACGCTATATCGCGAGTTTGCAGTGGCCGAACGATCCACGAGCTCGCCTTAAGATCGGAAGGTCTTGGGTTCGATCCCCGGTAGGTCATGAATGAGTACTGCTGAAAAGTCTCAGATAAGGACTCCCTGATTTTCAAGTCTGCTATCTGAAGTCAATTCAAGACTACTCTTGGAACCAATCTAAGCCCTACAAAACTAGGACTTGAAAATAACAATTTGTCCAGGAGCGCAAAAGCTATTCATGTGTAGACAGTCTAAAAGACCATATAACAACCACAAACAACGGTAGGCGATGAAACCGAGTAAAATGGGGAATGAATTAGCACTAGACTATACACCTAACAAACTAGAGTTAAACATGTTCAATGAGGATGAAGTATAAATAATTCCTCTGAATCGAACAAGGGGGCATAACACTTTGAGTAGTTAGAGTAGTTTAGTATTTCACTGCACCTTTCCACTCTACCCCAGATTGAATGGGACGCACATATTGACTGTGTCTGAATTCGATACGAAGTAGCACGACTTAATGGCTTGACTTCTGGCATGTTTAACAAATAATGATTAAGTCAACTAAGTTGCTAAGTGGTGCGTGGATATACAAAATAGTCATCTTACCTTATAATAGAAGGAACAGGTTTCATGATGACTATAAAAGCAGGATTCCAGCGGTAAATCATGATTTTTTGGGTTTAAAACCCTCCTTATTACTAATCCTAGTCGTCAATTCTCCTCTTTCAGGCCCATGTATATGCAAACCTTTTAGTGAGAAAACTTGTACAGTCATACCTTCATTAGTCATTTGCTTTTGACAGTACACAATCAGCCAACTGGACATTGAGAGCCTTATAGCAAGTTTTAAGACAGCAACAGCTACTCAAGTTACTTTTGGCACACCACCAGTTGCACTGGATCAACTGTAGGCATTGCGTCAGTGAACAAAAATCCGCATTTTCGGCTTTTAAAGACAAATGCGTTTTGAAACCTTGTAGGTGGCAGTAATGATAATGGGTCTCAGTTGGCACCTATTTTTACAGTCGAGCGTGCACTGCGATTCTACACACACGTACTTAGCCCAACTATGGCTTACGTTACATATCTCACGCTTCATAAGCCGTGTGTGTCCACTCGCAGGGTAAGTAACCACAAGTGACTTTCAGCACTTACTGAAGTTAATGCAATCCTACTTATGAATTAAGAACAGCTCAAGTAACTGAATTGAATTCTCATAACAGAAATTTCCAGTAGTACCGATAAGTAGCGATAAGGTGACTTAAGACAGACTCAGCTGAGTCCTAACTTCACAATTAACCGAGGCAATTTTTCCCTATCGAAATAAGAGCATGTCACGTAAAAGGGCAAATCCGACAAATTTTCAAAAACAGTCAATGAATGGTTATAACTTCAACATAAAAAGAACAATCACACACCAAATCAGAAAGTCAAGAGACAGCGTCAGACGTCTGAAGGTCAGTTTCAATTTCCAATGTCTTTACATTCCAGCCAACATTTAGTGTTATGTAGATCCTAACAGTATGAGTTCATTATTTGTGCAAATGCGTTCGCCAAACTTGTAACTCAAAAACTCTTGCGCTTCCTATTTCCAAAGATAGGTTCTGGTTGACTTCCAAAAAAAACTTAGTGACTGACAATTTAGTTCTTCGTACGAGGTTAATCTCTTCTTGATGTCAACACTGGCAGTGCATATTCAGTATTCAAGATGAATTTTAGCATACATTGCATCCGTATCTTAAAAATCCCTCAAGATCTGGTACAGCCTAAAGTGCACACCTGACTTAGCACTGTTATACTTGACGATCTGTTTTATTTAGTCGCTACCCTAGGCCAGTTTGTGAAGCCCTGATACATTATCACAGACTAATTTACACACTTATCTAATACCAGACAATCCTCAAACTTATTTCAAAGCAAATCTATAAGGATTCGTAAGCATTATGACAAGAACATCGAAATAAAACCCTGTAGAACAGGAGGCTTTAAGTCAAGAAGTAAAAGAGTATCAGATATATATGTGGCTAAATAGTTGGGACAACGCTATAATATGCATGTTTTCCAATTACGTAAGTGATGTCAACAAGCATGATCACAAATGACACAGAAGGATGCGTTTGTATGAGGTCGCTGGAGGTCACTCCTTTGAACCCCCTTGAATTTCACATCGTGAAAAAACCCTTATCTAAGTAGAGAAGAGCTATAGGGGAAGCTGAACTGCAATGACAAATGACAAGTGTTAGGCAACAGATCGGTTTTTAAGGAAATCAACACGTATTTATATATATTTCATGGACATTGTTACAGCTTATTCAAGCAGACAAACACAGTCTTCTGATTGGTTGTTCCTTACAGAAAGTTGACTTTGCATCTCTTTGTGACTGTTTCTTGAATGTCAGATAATCTATACGCCAAGTCTGCTGTGATTGGTTGTTGAATCAGTCTTGTTCATATTTTCTCACCACCAATACTTGTGACATACCCATTGAAGTATAATGCTGTCTACCATTTTGGCTAGCCAGCTCTCACCACACTCGTCCCCCGTCAAATAGCTTCGTGCACAGGCGTTCCGACCTTCTGGGTGATACATCCTCTAGTTGAGGAGTGTAACTGACCGGCTGGTCCCACTTTGCCCATCGTTGGAGCTTAGTGGCGTTAGACCGTTTCCGTTTGTCACCTCTTCGGATGATATATACTTGGCCCCGTCTTTTTGTGATTGTGTATGGTCCTTCCCACTTTGGAAGGAGTTTCCGTGAACCTGGCCCGCATCCAACCGCATATCTTCTGTCTCTACACTTCACTTGGTCCCCGACTGCAAAGGTAATGCGCTCAGTCTTTCCTTTCAGCTGAGACTTCGCGACATCACTCCGCTGCCTATGCATTATATTTCTGACTGCTTCTTTCCCCTCTGCTTTTAATTTCGTCGCACCCCACTTTTGGTGAAGGAGCCAGGTCTCGTTGTGTATCGGTAACCGCGGTTTTCTACCATACATCAGTTGAAAAGATGACTTCTTCGTTGTTTCCTAGGCTGTAGCACTATGCGTCAATAGAATCAGTGGGAGCTCCGTTTCCCATTTACCGCCCTTCGAGACCAGTCACTCCTTCAGTCTATGGTTGTTTCTCTCAGTCAAGCCATTCGTTTGTGGGTGATAAGGGGTCCTCTTGATGCCAAGCTGTTGCAAACGGGAAGTAAATTATTCACTTTCGAAACAGGGACCCTGGTCTGTCAGTATCGTCTTTGGTACGCCGTGGTCTGAAACGATGTGTCTAACTACTGCATCTGTCACGGTCTGTCAATGTAGTTGAAGATTGAACGATCAATTCATGGTTGTTTGCTCAAAACCAACTTCCCCAGTTTTCGCGGAGGAATCAATCAGCCAGCCATCGTCTCATCGTGTGAGGATATAGGCTATAACCAGCTGTTATCGCTCAACTTCGTCGGTTAACGCCTTCACGGCTACAGGCGTTATAATCGCCTATTTTGTGGGAAATAGATCATATTTTACTAGTTTTAGACTTCTGGAGCCAGACGGCAGTATTTTGTTCGTATTAAAGCGTAAAAGTGTATATTATAGCTCGGACGGATTATCAATAAAGAAGTCATCCTTTTCAAGAAAGTTCGCATAGAAAGACTATTATTTGCATTATAGTGCGTTGAGGGTTTTTTTTCGCAAGTTGTTTCAGATCTTAAGGTTGTAAATATACTACAGGCAATGGCAGAGTACTTAATGTCAGAGCACTTAAAATGAGTATCAGCTACTGTTGATTAGTAGCTAGCAGCTGTGTCATACAACTACTACACCTGTTACACAGGTTACATTAATCTTAATAATTATTTTGTTTCAGATCACTAAGATATTCTAAGATCCCTAATGACTTAATTGTGGCTATGAAAGATATGGAAGATGCACTTATAGCCCATATATTTAAAGCAGTTATTACTAAACAAGTTATCTGTAAGCATTTTGTGATGTTCTGGTTGCAATGCTTGAGTGTATGGGGTTATTGCCTGCTTCTGTGAGTTAAGGGATATTTGGTGAAAATCATGATACAATGAAGGTTCCTATGAAGTCACAATGAATACTGCAAACTGCTGATAAGAAACTGTATCAAAGGAAAAACTGCCGAACAGCTAGAAATTTCTACCTCAGTTTCGATGATTATTACCTTTTGCATTTGTAAATCATCCTTCCAAAGCTCAGATTGACGGCAAACCATCCATGGTACCCCACAGGCCCTACAGAAATTTGTGAGAGATCTTATATGTCAGGTTGTCTTACGAATTGTAAGGTTGCAGATATTTCAATTTACCTGTCACTGAAATATGGTCTTTTCATTTGGGCACTATTACACTACATTTTATCTTAACTGGATATGCCTTTATTAAAGCTGAGACTTACTCTTTGTGCCTATTAGTTGCTTGCTTACAGTCTAGTTGCTTTTATTAGAAACACAACGGCACCAGTGTTTGAACAAAGCTGTATTTTCATGGAAAACGTCACATTTTCTATGCTTACACCGATATGGTTGGCATTAAACATTGCAAATGTATACTAACATTCCAAGGACATAGCACTTAGCCAAATGTACAGTGTTCATTGTTAAGGGTTTACAATTTAACTCTTATCATAACCTGTTCTAATTATTATTATTATTTGCTTGCTGCTATCCTTTAGAAGATGAACAATATGTGTGACAGTAAAAACCACAGAAGAATGCTGTCATGAACGAAGAATGAGAAAGGAGAATGAACCATTTTCAGCAAAGGTAGGCAAATCTAAAGCGTTTAACTTTATTATTACTTCTTTGTTTACTTTTTTGCAGATATCCGGTAACGTCAGTCAACCCAGTCACATTGCCCTAATTATTACGACAAAGAAGTGCTTAAAGACATTTGCTTGTTATTATTTTTGATTAAATATATTTAAAATCCTGCTTACCAGACCTTTTTTATTCTATCTGATTGTAGATATATTTGTCATGATGACTAGATGCAGGCGCGACTTATTAATGAGACCTGACGAAGTAATTGGTGGCATATATTATTGTAAGGTAAATCTAACTACGAGTGCTAAAGCTGAACGAATTCAATAATTTGTCTCGTGTAGACTTAAATTTACGCTACATGTTAACAGCCTTAGTCATATGGATTGACATCACGCTTTAAGTGAAACATTAATAATGCAATACTTTCGAATACACGTAACCGTATAAGAACTGGAACTCGAATGCAGTGCCTAAGTTATGTCTACTATTGTCATTTGTCCCTAAAGACTTGTATATGACTATGAGATGTATGCACGTAACTTCACTAAAATACTTATAATTTAACACGTATGACGACCGACATCGTTTCTACACAATTACACTTGCGTACATTAGTAGTTAAAGTCCTAGAGAGCACCGGTCTAGCATGCCGTGCTCACAAAGGGAACACATGAATTGAAAGACAACAAGATTTACATGAAAATTTTATTTTAATTATGATACAAATTTAGTTTGTCTACATATTAAGAACACGATTGATTCCTGCGATTACTCCGTCTGCATAAGTATTGGCAAACACTTCTCCAAATTTGTCACTAATTCTCGTAATGCCCGCATTGGTAATACTCTTTTTGGTTTTCAATATGTCACGTTGATTTCGAGGGACAATTGCTGACGTACTTTGAGATGCGAACAAGTTGCATGACCACGTCCATTGTTTACAATTCTGCATCACATGGTTAACCACAAAAGGTGGAACAAAAAACGTAAAGATAACTATGAACTGAATATTACACGTGCAATGATGGTAGTGCTTGTGTCTTGTTTCCAATTAAGGCAATGTACACACGAATAGGGTAATGAAAATTACAACTTTCCGTATATAAGAACATTAATTAATTAAGTTTCGGTCGACATAAATTAAAAACGGAGTCAGAAAAACGCAAATATACCTGTGAAATATGGCTTTCTGAAATGGACCAAAAGCAAGTGTCGGCAGGGGTACCGACAGGTCTGAAATGTAGCGCACGTGCAGGTGCAAGCACTCAGATCAACCTCCACTCTATTCCCATTGTCTTTGAAGAATACATAATCGAAGGATTCCACCTCAACATTGCTGATACCATTTGTACACCTTCAGCATACTTTTATGCAAACTATCTGATCTTTGCAAGTACCGTTTCATTTGCTTGTGGGAACTCTCGACGCGATTATTTGTATCATTCCCAAAAGTCAGCACGTTGTCTCTGAAACATGCTGCCCACAATTCTCGTCGATGCATCCAACGACGTTGTAGATATTGACTGACAGTAGCATCCAATCTGCTAATAACTCTGAAATAGAAATTAAATCTGGGAAATGAGAACATTAAAGGCATTACTCTGATCTTTTTTTACACTGCACTAGACGGCATAAGTAGTTCTTCACAATGGGATTTCTTGTCTACGAATAAAATGTAAAGTATGCTTTGAAAAACTTACTTTACGACAGAATGCTCGGCAAACATGGAAAGAACACAAAACAATGTGCGCTTCTCTGTGCGTTAACTTGACGGCTGCTATTTCAGCTTGCGCACAATCCATAATGAAAGATTCTGTTTTGGAGGTGTCTTCCATTATTCGACGAAAACAGTCTAATATCCAAACTACATCTCGTTTGAATTCTTTTCTAGTCCACGCAAATAAAACTCGTCGTCCACGACCAAAATTATCCGTCACAAGTAACTGGAACAAAGAATACCTGCACGTTGATTAATGAATTGGTAAACTTACTTCCCTTATTGGTGTTATACGTCGAATCGATACCAACAACTTCAGGGAACTGTTTATACAATTCCATTTGCTCATAAGTTGCAAAACAAATTCTTGTTAGTGAATTCCTGATCGGTTCATCGGAATAATACTCCATTAACTTCCCACGGGATTTTAGGAATTCAAAAATGTCACGACGACTCGAAATACCTTAAGTATTTAACAAGTACGTCAACGTTACCTTTAGTAACTGCGGCTTTCATATTTTTAACGTCGATGCGAGTTATATCCTTGTGGTACTTCTCCTTAACATGCATTATTATTTCATCGGATGAGTGGGATTGCTGAAGAAGTGGTTCCACATTTTCTTTCTCTTCAACTGTTAGTCGTCTATACCATGGGTCATTCTGCATGTACACCCTGCTGCATGGATGGTTATGTACCATATTGTGGGAAGCAATTATGTATTCACTATAACGCAAAACCACGCGAAATGAAGACGAGCAATTGCAACATTTAGACCTGAAATATTCATGAAATCATACTACACTTCTTCTTACGACTTATTTTTCAATTTCAATCCAGGTCTTGTACGATTCACTCCAAAAGTGCATTTAAAACCAACAAAAGCGTACTTAAATCTGTCATCCGGTATCGTTTTGCTATAATTATGAACATAGTGAGTGCAGGACAACTATATTGTTAGCATTAAATGACTTCCTCACTTTTTGAAATTCTGCTAATGACTTCTCAAATTCATCCCAGCTCAAGAAACGCCTTCCAAGTATGTATTCACCAAAAATTCCACTTAAGTCTGTGCTCCTTTCACTCGAATTGACTACCTGCAACGGACTAAAATAAAATTATCAATTAGTATCCATCTATGTCACAACTATTCCAAGATAAATCGTAAAAAACCAACATTGAAATACAGGGATGATCAATAACCATCAAGAAAATACCGCACGTATAACCTAAATTACAGAAAAACACAAGAACCCACCGGTTCGTTGACATCGCAAGCAACCGATAGACCAAACAACGAATTGTACGACACACAAAGCCTAGTACATGCACAAACAAAGAAAAACAAAGCGTTACAATAGTCTAATTCACGTTTATAGTCATCACATATGCTGGCAAACGACGCAAACACAACCACGCCAGGACGACACCCGACAGCACGCACCCAAGGACAATTCAAACTCCAATTGACCGCCACAGTTCTAGTCAATGAAAGACGAAAAAACCTGAGTCGCGGAAAATATAACACGTTACAACGTATATCCTCACCCCGTCTCATCGGTCGCTGTTCAGAAAGAAGTCAGGAGAAAACTGTCGGAAGTAATATTGTGATTTATTATTGTAATATTTGTTCATAGATCTTAGTTGTAAAGTTGGCTATATGTTGGTGTTAGAATAAATAATTCTCGAGTTGCCAAACTGGGTTCTGGTTTTTGCGTCCGTTCGTGCTAAGCGTTTCGACGGGAACCCAGCTGATTATTTACAGTTTGTAAAGGAGTTTGAGATTTTGCTGAGTAGTTTTTATTAAGTGATGAATTGAAATTGATGTATTTGATGAGATACTGCACTGGAGTTGCTTAAGATCCATGCAGTGGCTTAAGCTCATGCCCCCTAATGAGGGATACTCTGAGGCCAGGAATATACTGCGTCAAACATTCGGAAGACCTTCAATGCTGGTAGGGAAATTATTCGAGGCTGTTAAGGGTAATGGTGGTCAGTTACAAGATAACTCCAAGGCACTCACTGAGTTTTTGGATAATCTGCTGACTTACAAGAATGCACTGATTTCGATGAATTGCATCAATGACCTCAACTCGAAAATTATCTCAGAAGTAATAGCGAGACGCCTACCTACTCGACTGCAAAGGAAGTGGGTGAAGATAAGCTCCCGTATAGAGGATGAAGCTATCGAGCCAAAGTTCGATGATATGAAATGAGAATATATATATTATCATTATTCTGAAACTAGTAAAAGATAGTGTCAATCAATCTATGAGCAAGTTCGCCAGTATATTGCATCCCCCCCTTAGAATAGAGCAGTCTGGGGGTAAAACGCAACCATTGATGATGAAAGGGTCTCAGGGAGGTGGATATCGAGAAGGCTCTATGGTGTCTAGCAATACATATAGACTAAGTGAGTGTAACAGCTTTCTTGGTACATCCTCAACAGATAAGTTACAAGATGCAAGACAAACACTGTTGTGTTTCACACGTTCGCAAGAGGTGCGTACAAAGATGAACTGTGAACCAGTGAGCAAGTTCAGTGATAAGCTAAATGTAAACTCCAGGCCTGACTCCGAAATTTGTGACGATAATAGCGCGGTGAAGAAGCCTGTAGTTGCAACTAGTAAGCCATTGTTGAATAGAATGCCACAGAAGAGAGTTACAGTTGCGGAGTGCAGCTCTGACTCCAGAAGTTTACAAGCTATTACTAGTCAAAGTGAAGGCAAAATCATCTAAGGATTTGTGAGGAGAAACCAAAATTGTCTACTTCTGTTATTGAAGAGTTTGAAAATGATGAAATTGACGGTAAAGTGAATATTCGTGATAATGATCGTGATAGTGCAGATTTGTCTTTGATCGATCATGATGAGATGAGGGATATGCCTGCTTCTGTTAAGTTGAATAAAGGTTCTGTACAAGTTGAACGTGATGTTGAATTGAATGCAGATGCAGTTGCAGAAGGTATGGATACTTGTGAGACCGTCGGTGTAATTGATCAGCGTGTAGCCCACCTATCATCAGATGCTGGTGCTAAACCGGAGCTAATAGTAAAAGACAGCGGTGGTGGTAGTCTTGCAGTTAGACAACCTTCTAAAAGCCGAACAAGAACAGCTTCTGATCCACTGCTGAATTCATCAACTGGTATCAATCAGTCGTCGTTGGTGTTGTCATCCACAATGAAACAGACGCCCATCAACTCAAGTACCTTGTGCAATGACTTTGATAGTATTGGTGTATTTGAAAGGACGAAGGATATTTCTCAGTATAGTGAGGATAAGCCAAGTGTAAACGAGAGAGTAATTGTTAAATTGACGTGCACGAATAAAGGCATTCCAAGTTTCAAATTACTATTTGAATGTTATTAGCTTTGGTGTAAATTACTCTGTACCCAACCTTGGTTGACCAGATACCTCGTGTGTTTGATAGTCATCTATATTCTATGATAAAATGACATGAGCGTGTTACCGTTCATATTTGAGCATAAAGCTGATATAAGGAAGTCAGTAAATGAACTCTTCGATGATTTTCCAACCTAGGGTTTAACCTGAGAAGGGTTGTAGACATACTGCTGTAAGTCCTACAATTCTTCAAGGGTAGTTCGTCATGCCAGAATCCACAACATTTGATGTATTGATTGTACATATGTTTGTGTTAAATACTTGTGTGAGTTCCAATTATTGTAATTGTTGGTTAGTCTTGTTTGTGTCCGGACATTCCACAACTTGCAGTCGTCAACCTGAGAAGGGTTGTAGGCGTACTGGTGTAGGTCCTGCAATTCTTCAGAGGAATTCCATCAAGATATGATCCGCGAGGTTATTTGTACTGTTTGTATATACGTGTGATGTGTCATACCAATTTGTGATTTTGGATTAATTAAGTTTACTCGTTGTTTTCGTACCTTGTTGTTATTGCGTAATTTTGTTAAAATTTTCGTCGTGATTACTTCTGAAGTTGTGTCCACTCTTCTACATCCATGAATGAATTGATTGATGTTAAGGACAGCAGATGGGGCGTATACGCCGGGGAGGCTAGGCTATTGCTGAGAATGAAATGCACACGGAGATAATTGTTAGCTGCGATCCCACACGCCGGGGAGAAAGAGTGTAAACGACTGAGGCTCGCATACGTCACCGTTACTAGAATTGAGGCAGAATGAGTGACAAGCGATTTCAGTGGTAATTGGTAGTGAGTAGATAAGAGGATGTGCGTAGAGTATCATGAGGTGCTGCCATGGTCAATTTGCATTCTGCAAGCGACATTCTAGCAAGTGGCGATTGTGTTGCAAGATGTCAAGAGGAGGTCTCTGTCTGGAGGCGCAGGTCGTCAGCGATGTGTGAGATTGTGCTGTGGGTATGTTTGTGGTGTGTTGGCTTTCCTGTTTGTTTTCCATTTCAGCTCTGTCCGTGTGACCCAGGTTCTCGCAATCGCATCCAAGTCAACGTGTATTGGTTGTGAAGGAAAAAAGGGTTGGGTCCGTATTTTGCCGGGGAGTGTCAATGGAGTTGAAGATTGAACGATCAATTCTTGGTTGTTTGCTCAAAATCAACTTCCCCAATTTTCGCGGAGGCATCAATACGACAGTCATCGTCTCATCGGTCGCTGTTCAGAAAGAAGTCAGGAGAAAACTGTCGGAAGTAATCTTATGATTTCTTATTGTAATATTTGTTCACAGACCTTAGTCATACTTGATTTATATGTTGGTGTAACAATACAGAATACTCAAGTTAACAATTGGTGTTTTGGTTTTTTCGTCTGTTATTACTGAGCGTTTCTGAGAAACTTCAAGCGACAGCGTGAGCCCGAGCGTAGCGAGAGCTGGGCATTAACGGTTTACGAGACGTGACTGACACCTGTATATGCTAGCTGGAGACATTCTTATACCATGTCGTGGCGCGACGATTTAGGTATCACAGCCAGCCAGCTTTCGTCCTTCTCTCGCCAGGTCAGAGTCCCGTAGGCATTCACTCTTAGTCAGTCTCTCTGTCTGGGTAGTGTGGTTAGCTCCTTACTTGCTGCAGCTTGATCCACTTCTATTCCGTTGGTGATAATCTGTATTACTGTATTCAGCGTATCGTCCAACCTTTGCCTGCGTGCAAGTCTAAGTGGGTATTGTTCTACTGCATGCACTCCGTAAGAGACCTCGGGCTTCTCAGACTCGTCTTCTGGTCTCGATAACAAATCTGCCAAGACATTCTCACTTCCAGGAACGTGTGAGATCGTAAAATCGTACTCCTGAAGACGCAACATCCACCGTAACAATTTCCCCTGTGAGTCTCTCACTGTCTTCAAAAACGGTGGCCGCTTATGATCAGTCTCGATGTGGAACCGCCGGCGGAGTAAATAAGGTCTCCATTCGTGGACTGCCCATACTAATGCTGAATATTCTTTCTCTATCGTTGAACAGTTTTGTTCTCTGTGTGTCAAAACCCGACTGGCATACTCAGCGATTCCCACACCCTGTCTTAGGACCGTACCTATGGCGTAGTCACTGGCATCTGTGCACACTGTGAACTGTCTTCCAGGTACAGGTAGTTATAGTGTCATTTGTTGGTGGTCGAGCAGCTGTTTAATCCTGTCGAATGTCCTCTGCGATTCCTCCGGACAAACTTCGGCTCACCTAGTTACCTGTACAGAACGCTGCTATCTCATTGAGGTTCTTCACAAACCGACTATAAAACGCTTCTCTACTCAAGAATTGTTCCAGTTTTCTCTTTGAATTAGGGCTGGGATCGTTTTTATCGCCAAAATTTTCTCCGGTAGTGGTTTATTCTCATCATTTCCCAACCTTGACCTTGGCGGCCTGCTTAAATCTTGGGCTACCAATTACCGTAAACATTACAAATCATATCGCGTTCCATTTTTCATTTCTAATTGATTTTTTGGCAAAGTTCAACAATAGCGTCCCAAGGGATGCGAACGCACGAGTGACCTTCAGGCAGCCAATCATAAAAATGAGGAATTTTTGCACGAAAAATGACGTATATTCACAAGAAAATGCATGGAAACACATTTAACGGATTACATTTCTCTGACATGACTTAAAAATGCGTTCCAGTTGCGATGAAGAGTATCAGTTGCTAATTTGGACTAGTTTCTGTAGATGTATTCACCAAAGTGACTGAAGGTGTGTTGTTTTGGGAATTGTTCATCTCTCTTCTCTTGCTGTGTAGTCCTCTCCTAAGCCCTCGGTTTAGTTACTATGGTTCCAGTAAGAGCATTGGCGACTACATTCAAGGGAAATAAGGATAATAAAAGAACTTGAAATAAACGAAAAATCTATTCCTAATCGCTACCCTAACCTTAACCCTAAACCCTAACCCTAAACCCTAACCCTAACCATTGTGCCACCGACGCACACAATGACCGTAACCCTAACCCTAACCACAATACTCGCCTTAACCCCTATCCTAACGCTAACGAGATGTTAACACATTGTCCAAACAGTAATAAAAGTGTTATCTGGGTGAA